GAAACCAGATTGCAATATCTGAAGGAGGAATTGAAAAGGTTGGAACAGGGAACAGCGAGAAGCAGACGTTCGTCGAGCGCCAAAAGGTCAAAACCGCGTCGAAGAGCCCGATAGGAAGGGCGGAGGGACGAAAGCTAAGAAGAATCTATGGAAATGGACCAACTTCGTCGAAATTTCGACCTGTGGATGACTACCTCTGTTCCCGGGCCACCTAGAGAGTGAGTAGTGGTTTGTCACACGAACCGTCGGTGGTCACGTCGCTCTTTTCATCGCCAACGCGTCTTCCAGACAATCAATCTTCCGGCTATCTATTTTTCAGCTTGCTGGTCAGTGCCCGGCGGGCAGCGGCGGGCACCGATTACCATGAGCAGGGCCAACGACAACGGGCTCTGATCCGCAAGCACACGCTCTTTTGGTTTATTGGTTGAATCCGCTCTCTTGATGAGTCCCTTTGTCAAAGGCAGCTGATATTTGTCATTCTTTCGCCTTCACTTCCGATAGTTACAGATAGTGATGAATAGATTCCGTTCGCTTCACGCGTGCATCAGAGGTAAAGACAGTCACGATAGGCCCTTTCGAGCGTACCTTGGGCACGAAACTGAGATCGTGGGGTCGGAATGTGATTGTCGGCGGACAGAGGAGGAAATTTCGACGATCTGAAGGACCAGCTTGAGTGGGCAGGCCAAAAACACACAACGGACAACGGGGTGAGCAACAAGTCTCGAAAGTGAGCGTACTGGCTTCTTAGCACGGGGGGCTGTGCACTGGGCCGCCACTCCCCCAAGATGGTTCATTAGCCGCTCGGGCAACGAAAAGGGAATGGTCCCGACGGAGCCGGAACCACCCTTGCCGCCCCTAGTTGGCTCATGCAATGCATAACTCAACAACGTTCCTTCGTGAACCCTTGTCGATCAATCGTTTCTGCTCTCGCGCTCAGTCTGGTATGGGACCAGAATGGGACTCTGATCATGCTATGAATAGTAGGCTTTGAAAGGGCCTTTTCGGTATTCCGACCCCATCATGGCTGGGTTTGGCAAGGGGGCCCATTTGGAAGCCTTCCCCTTTTCGTATCAACTTGGGCCAAGTTGATAAAGACAGTCGACCTTCACACGCTTTGCAAGGGTTATGATAGCCACGCCTGCATTGGATTTTTATTGCACTTCTTCCGATTTGCAAGCAAACACCTCACTTCGGCGTCCTCCCAGCAGAAACGAAACCGTGTATCCGCTGATTCCCAGGACGAGCCAACCCACGACACCCTCCTAACACACCTTATGGTCCCTGATTCCTGGACATCCTGAGACTAATGGCCCTGAAAATCCGAATTGGGTCCCTCCTGCAGGCAAGCCATCCGCAGTCAGATCTGTTCTTCAGCCTGGATGAGGTGAATCCCCTGTCCGCTCGTCGACCAATTGCAGAGTACTTAGTTCCATCTATACCTTCGTCTTTGGCTAGAATCTAACCCCAGTCACCATGATGCCATATTATCTGTGCTTCAAAGCGTTCTTACTCAGGATTGTGCTACCAACCGTGGCAATGATCAAGAGCGAAGTTACGACACAAACGAGCATTTAACCACTGGGTCTCACTGTCAATTCGCCGATGGACCGCCCACTCCTCCAGAGAGCGTACGAGCTCTGCATCTACGAGGTTCAACGGCGGTGAAGTTGGCGACCGTTGAAGGCTGCCAGGAGAACCATGTCATAAAAGAGTCCACGATGGTACTTCATTTCTGAAGTAGGACTCGCCCAGTCACTTTGAGCGGGAACCCGTTCTTTCCAGCACCTTCTTTGAAAGTAATGACAATATGCCTCGTAGCGACCTTCCTTCTTGATCATTGGCATATCACTCTAGACCCACCACTATTCTTAGGATCGCCTGAGGCTGTGAGAGATGTGAGACAAGAATAGCACCTAGGGAACAAGAATTGGTCCCTTCAGAACTAAGGATCGCACATTTCCAACCTAACACGAATTGATTTATATTCCATGGAGCTCGGAAGCTAGGAGGATGTGAACAATTTCTAACACTCAAGCAATTTACAATTTTCGACTTTGTAGAGCAGTCATGCCGTCACCCCCGTGTTCCACGATTTTCTGTTTCGTCCTGCCCATCTTGACAAGGATGGCGACTACGGCAGCCGCACCACTCTGTTCAGACACTATTAACACGGCAGGAGGCGGGATTCCGGACAGCAACGAGCCTCCCATAGTGTCAGCGGAAGCGATAAAGGAATTCCAGCTAGCCCTCTTTCTCGAGAACCTGGAATCATCCTATCTTCAAAGCGGACTTCAAAATATTTCTACCTGGGGAACGGCGGGCTACCCAAATGACACGATCGAAGTTCTTAGCAAGATTGCCGCCGTAAGTCGACCATCCTGGCTCTCTGTCTGTCTAACATCTTGTGCCTTCTTCAGCAGGAGGAAGTACACGTTGCAACAATTGCGAACCTGCTCAACGGCTATGGAGCCCCTGTGATTGCACCTTGCCAGTATTCCTTCCCGGTAGCGTCTATTGATGAGTTCATCGCCCTTGGCGATATCATCACCTCAGTGGGCATCAGCGCACTTATCGGGCTGGTCGATCGAGTCTCATACACTGATCCTGGGATTGTCAATACGGTGTCGTCGATCGTGACAGTCGAGTCCCGCCATGACGCCTTCCTCCGCCATGTGGGTAGCAGAGTCCCTAACCCAGCTCCATTTGACACCGGGATTAGCAGTATCTGGGCATACAATTTGGCTCTTCCATTTATCGTGCCTGGATCGTGTCCAGCGGAACTCCCACTACCAATTCTGCCCACGTTAACGGTGTCAGCCCCGACTACGGCTGATAACAGATCCTCAGCGGCCACGGGAATAGCGTCGAGCATCGCACCATATCAAAATACCACCACGAGCCCCGCTACCGCTGCGAACACCACTGTGGTTCCGTCAGAAATGGCATTCTCGTGGGATCCGATGCAGATGCCATTCGTTTTCGAGCAGGGAAAACAGTTGTTTGTGGGCTGGACCAATCAGCTGAATGTGCCGGTGTATACGGTATTATCGATCGTTGGTCAAGGCAGGGGAGTTGCGGATGTACCGCAAGGACTCAATGGGGCGGTGTTTGCAGCGATCACAAGTCAATTGCCTGATAATGACTATGACCTGGCCCTCGCAACCATGGCGGGCCCGGTTGCGTTGTCACTCTCTTAGCTTTATGTTGGACAATTGTGTTGGAGTATCATTGATAAATACAGTAGACAGTCAAGAATGTCCAGTAATTTTTTTAATCAATATGAACCCTCGTCTGGCCCTGGGTGAGAGCAATCCCAGGGGATCATATCTATGATTCCGGCGGCTTGCTTCGTTAGTGATGCAAGTCTTCCCGAGTTCGGCGCATTTTGTACAGGTGCTGATGCCATCTTCTGGAGCGGCTGAACTCTAGTATCTTGTCAGTTTTCGGCTCCGTGCAACATGCGGGATGAGATGTTATACACAAAGGTAGGGGAGGGTGCGATGAAATGTCGACAACGAATTAGAACCCCCAATCGATAATACAACTTTTTCAGGTCAAACGAAATCCTCCCACACAAAACACCAACCATGAGGTTCAGGACACGGGAACTGGACTTGGTCAGGGCTCTCGATGAGACCTTCCTGCGAATTGCCGAAATCGGCCTGCGTGTCCTGGAAGGCGCCTGGTCCATCATTATCATCGGCTTCGTCGCGGCCGTCATAAGCGGTCTCTCAGACGCAGATGTAGACGTGCCGCGGAAAGCGACGGCGACGGTGGTCATCGCCTGCATCTGCACCGTCTACTCGGGTATCACAATCCTGCCCATATTCTTCGGCGGCGCGCTGTTCTTTTCGGTTTCGTTAGTTTTCGATATCCTCTTCGTGGCCGCCTGGGTCACTCTGATCGGCCTTTGGGATGGCGACGCCACGGACTCCTGCCGCGCCTTCAAGACTAAATACTTCGACGGCCAGCCGTCAAAGGCGCATTTCCAGACCGACTGCGAGCTGGTCAAAGCCATGTTTGCGTTCATGATTGTCAATCTGTGAGCACAACCCCTCCTTTCCCGGTGTTACTTTTTCCGCTGGCCTTTTTCTGTTACTAACCTGGCCAATGTAGCGTATCCTTTCTGGGATCTGCGGTGATCGCATTCTGTCTGCGCCTAATCGAGCTCGACTATGCCATGAGCTGGAGAGTGCCTCCTCTGGTGGACAAATTCGACAAGCGGGGAAGACAAGCACACTATAGCTGCTGCACGCACAACGCGAACAATCCTTCGCCGCAGCGGACCTCCATAGCAGAGAGTACCGCACCATTGGTATAATGATAAGGAAAGGCTCGGGCGTCTTTGACATTGCTTTTGTTTTGGCTTGGGTTGGCGAAGGGAAAAAGCATTGCTCTGCGCGGGAACAGTGGTTTGCTCATGGGTGGCAGAGGTGTGTAATTGGCGTTGGTGCAAACGAAACCAGACGGCGGCGGAAACCCTCCATTTTCCTCCCCATTGTGGCTGCCTAGTGTAGTAATACTGTAATACTATTGCTTTGGTCGTTTGCCTGGTCCAGGTGCCCACTGGGTCTCAATCTTGCTGCGAGAATAGTAATAATATCTTTAGGATACTCACTCAGGTCAGCGCTGAATGGTTGAGGTTGACGGCGAGGACGAGAATGCTCACAAGAAGCTCAAGTCCACCCAGAAGCATCTGATTCCGAAAGGTGCTCCAAGTGATCCAAGTGGCTTGGCAATATCATCCGACGACTTTCGCCATCTTGACAAGCTCCTGTACGAATCAGACTAGTGGGTCCATCCGCTTCCCACTAATCACCGTCGGGAATATCAAGGCGCACATTTTCCGAGACGCTTCCTGAAACTTAGAAGCGCGCGGCAAAGCAATGGCTCAGTAAGTCAGGTATAAAAACTAAAAATTGACTCTATTAACAGCAACTTGTAGAAGGAGACGCACTATGGAAGCCATCCCTTTTTCGTATCAACTTGGGGCGACCGCTCTTGCCTTATATTTAGAACCAACTAGCTGCACTGCCATTCTTCATTAGGCAGTCGCACAGTGGTGGTCACTGGGGCTGCAAATGCGAGTTTCTTTCTGGGTACTTAAATATCCTGCCCGCTGGCCCTGCCATGGAGACTTCGGATGATCAGAAAGACGCCACAACTCACACGCCAGACGACACTGCACTTGAGAAAAAGCCAACGAAAGAGATCGTAAGATGAGGCACCGCGAGAAAGGAAAGTTCGGCGCCATTAGAAAAAGCCACGAGTTGCACACAATATGGATCTATTCCGCGGCCCGCCACATAATCAATCCAAAGGCTAGAGAGGCCTATACATACAGATCCTCTGGTCACGGACCATGGCAACCGGTGATCAAAAACATTGTAAGTCTTCCCCAAGTGATATCATACCTCACGCTAAAATGGCCAGGAATTTGAAAGGCTGTTGCAGAGGATACTTTTCCTGAATGGTCTAGACGACGAAAAAGCAAGAGAAGATGGGGACAAAGCTTGTGAAGAAGCAGAACTGTCTCAACCCCCGCCAGGCCGGCCACCGAACGAAGAGATCCAAAATCGCCACGGCTCGAACGCCCAGCAGACGGGATTGTCCGAAGATGGCATTGGTCATACAGCTTCACATTCAGTCAGCCAGTCCTCGCCCGAGCCAACAAACACAGCCACAGCAGTTAAATGCACAAGAGAACCCCTAGCAGAATTACACTCTGTCATCTCAAACAACCGGCAGTTGACGTCGCGAATGCTCGTTCTTGCGTCTCTAACACGCGTCCCTTCCAAGGAGGCCATCGTACCGGAGCCACGGACTAGTTCATCGGCAGCTTCCATACGTGTTAACTCAATGGCAGAAGGACAGGTTGAAATGCGGAATCATCACAATCGCGTGGAAGCATCCTCTGCTGGCGCAAGACCTGCCATGAAGCAAGCGAGGCGTCATGGTGATCGAATCAGCCGCAAGAAACGGTATGCTCGTCTGGAAAAGGAGTTCAAGCGACTGTCACGGATACAGCAGATACATGAGCAATTGAACAGGACGAGGGCCCAAGTGAGGTAGAAGAGAGTGACTTCGAAAGTGACTTTCGATCATGAGCGGGCAACGTGGTGGCCCTTAAACTCGAGCACTGCTCGATTGCACCATCACTCCATATCCGAGCCCTCAAGCAAACCAAACCCGCTCCTCCGAGTGCTGGGTGCGCTTCAGATGCTTCCGAGGGGACAACTGTTCAGCTCCGATTTTGTCAAGCAGGTCACAAGTACGGTAAAGCTCAGGGACGTGATCTTGTGGGCTCCTATCCAAACATACGCCCTAATCACGCAATTTTACTATCCAAGTTCCTCACTCTTAGTGTATGGTATCATCGGGTGTTATTAGACCAAGATGTGAACAAACGTCGTCATTCCCGTCATTAGTAGAGCCGAAAAGAGAGTGCCCCAGCAGTAGCCGCCAACCGGGCCCTGATCAGCCCTAATCTCGGAAGAGAGGTCTTTGGACTTGGAGTAGAGAAGGTAAACAACAATTGTTGGAAGGAGGTAAGAGATGCAACAAAAGAGCCCAATAACCAATCTTGGCATTAATGGTAACGTCAGATCCTGCAATAGAGTACCAGCGCCGAAGGGCCAGCTGAACATAGAGGTGAAAAAGACGACAGCGATCACCAGGGCCGTCGCTATGCCGATAATGAAAGGATCCCGGATCCATCCAGGGGTAGCTTTTGCGAAGATGCTGCGCAGGTGATCCAAATCTTCCATCTGGTCGCTCAGAATATTTGTAACAACCTGGGGGACGATCCTAGAAATGTTCACAGGCAATTGATGACATTCGACACGGTCGCTGAACCCCACGCAGTATTGTTTTGTGCCGATGGAGAGATTCCAGGGGATCGCCGTGCTGGCGCCATTGACGGCTGTCGCGGCGGCGCTTGCGAAGCTGTTGGCTTGGCTGAGAGCCCCGGAGGCTGCTGTTGCCACATTGCTTACGACGCTCCCAGCTTCGGTCACGGCCGTCGGGATCAGGCCCCTTGCACCGAGCGGTACCTGTGTGGGGGGCGCCTTAAACTGTGGAAGAATACATCAGCGATCTACCTCACCTAACATATTGAACAGTGAAAGGCCCTCACAGTGAAGGTAATGATACCAGCCTCCATGTCGTCCTTACTGCAAAGCACTTCAAAGCTCAAAACCGTGCAGCAGATTAGTGCGGCCACGAATGCGAGCGACACACCTACTTTGAGCCAAAGCTTTTCTCTGAGCATGGTGGTGTAAGTATGAATAATTCAACCCGTGGGACGATGAACACTTTGCCACCGATGGGCTGCGGATATCATTTAATGAAGCTGCGTACCTCGCCATCGAGCTCTGTGGTACTCTCGAGTGATAGGGCTGTTCAGTATTTGGATCCAGAAGGGGCCCCTCAGTTTCTTAATCTCATATCGCTGAGCTCAGTATCAAGCTTGAACGGGCCCCCAAGGACCAGAATAAGCCCCTGGTGGTTGAAGGTAAACTTCTGACATGGGTGTGCGATCGCTGCACATACCAGTTCTGACCGCTTTGTTCCTCACCCGCTTCGTAGTCAAGGTCGAACGTCGAATCTTTGTCTCCTGGCTCTTGGGACTAACTCTCGCCATTTTGTTCAACCCTTACATACCTTACTTAAAAGAGTGTACCTTTGCCTAGTCTTCTCTTTACCCATCCATATCGTCAAGATGCCTTCCAACTCATTAAATCGCCGGAAACGCATCGGCTTTGATGCTATCAGAGGGTCTATGGGGTCTTCTCAAAGCATAACCCGCCAGGATGATCACCTCGCGGATGATGAAACACCCAGTCACCGTGGGGCTGAATTTGATCCAGCCCCAGGATTCTCGAGGGCCCTCTCGTCCGGAACGTACCGTACCAACTCAGCGACTGGTTCGAAGCGCCTGAATCCCCCAGTAGCACTCGGACATGGGACAGAGAACACATTGATTGTGAAGCACCAATCCCCGTGGGAAAAGTACCGGAAAAGCCATGGCATACGACTTGGCGAGGAAGACGACGACATGGTGGACGTGGCCGATGTTAGACACCCGTGGTCCGCCAACTTTATTGTCCCTCCTCAAAAGGAGGGTCCAACGCCGTACGTCGTCGCGGTGAGGGCCTTCTCTATACATAACAGTGAAGAGAAATGTCGTATGTTGCAGCAGGTTGAACATGAGAATATCGTGTCTGTGAGAGACATCTTTCTTCATAACGAGTTATTCTACATTGTCTTCGAGCATATGCCGATGTCTCTGAGCCTTTTCACTGGTTTTCCGAAACATCTCGACGAGGATCAACTAGCGTCGATTTTAGGACAGGGATGTTTTCAATTTCACCTCTTTTGAGTGAATCCGACTAACCCTGGCAGATCCTGAATGGGCTAGTGTACCTCGCGAAAAAGGGACTCGAACATGGCTCCCTGACCACCTCGAGTATTCTCATCAATGTCGCTGGTGAGGTGAAGATAGGGAGGTAATCACTCTATAAATCTACGTCAAGCTGACGTTAAGTTCACAGCGCACCAGGAACTCTGTCGGCCATATCCCCTGAGCAATCCTGGATCGAGAGATATTAGGGCTCTGAGCTTCATCACAATGGAGCTGATGCAAAAGTATGCTAAAGTTGATGGTGCCGTTGGAGTAGATGACTTGCGCCGGTGGCCCTCCGATTCTCTGGCGGTCGAATTCCTTTCTGAGACGACGTCTGCAACTTCGGCAGAGAGGTTGTTGAAGGCAAGTGAAGGACCTCAGATTTCTTCACGGGTTTGATTCTGACCTGTCTAGAATCCATTATTCAGCAGGCCATGGGGAAAGAGAAATCTCCAAGGGCTGGCGGACATTACTTCGATTGCCCCATTCAGGGGCTACAGATTGCCGCCAAGTTAGACGAGGATGGAGTTTGTCGTGTAGAGGATCCCATTCTGGCTCCAACGAGGTTTCTTTATTCCAAAGTTGCCCGCAACTGCTTATAGTCGTTCCATTCTCGGCTCCCTCTCTAAGGGTTTGGCGTCTCAATCATCTACTATAGCTCATTATATTTCAGCTTCACTCTTCCCTATTTCTCAACCCTTGTGAAAACTCCCTTCCCCTTCGTCCATTATCGTTGTTCCGCTTCATATCATTTCTGACATTTAATATGGATATTACTCTAGCGTACGCGATCGGCTTGGGCGGCTTGCTATTTCTCCTCATTCTTATGAACTTCCGCCAGTGGCTTCTACTCGGTTGGAAGAAGGTCGTTCCACTTTCCCTCAAATATTTCGTGTATCCACAGATTCGTCACCGGTTGACGGGGGCGTGGCACCCGGCTGGTGTCATTGCAGGGCTTCTGTACAGCGGAGTCAACGTCTTTTGTGTCTGCTTCAAAGTGCGCTCTGTCTCGGTGGCCGGTCTGCGAGCGGCCAATCTCTCGCTCATCAACCTGATCCCTCTCATGGCGGGCCCTCATCTGAGCTTTCCAGCCGATCTCTTGGGCGTCACATTACGCACGTACCGGCGATTTCATCGCTCCTTAGGGCTAATGTCATCGGTCCTGTTGGGCTTCCACGTTCTCATTGTGCTTGTGGAGAAGAAACCATTTCCCCTGCGGATCTCGGAAAACCTCTTTGGATTGATCGTACGCTTCCTAAAAGGTTCATACACCCGGTCAACAGAATTGACAAAGATCAGGGGACAATATCATTGGGCATCCTCGTGCCTCTCTCACACCCATTTCTTCACCGTCCTTTCTACGAGTTCTTCCTTCGCCTGCATCAGATATTGGCGATCACTGCGACATACAGCATATGGAGCCACTTGCGGAAGAGCCCTTCTCTTCCACAAAAGTATATTTACATTACGATGGGTACATTCTTGCTGACCGTTCTAGTCCAATGCGGACTCATCATGTACCAAACCGCAGTGGTCGGGAATGGGTTTGCCAGAGTCAAGGTTACCAATATCAAAGAGATGCTGAGCAGAGAGCATGTCATCATCGAGCAAGAAGTGATGGCGCTCCAAGTCCGCCTCGCTTCGCCACTCCAGGTGAAGCCGGGGCAATACGTCTACTTATGGATTCCCTGGTTTGGCCGCCTGCAGAGCCATCCCTTCATGATAACTTCCTGGTCGGACGAAAGCCTAGAGTCCTTGGACATCTTCGTGGAACCACGTGACGGCCTGACCAGAAAACTTTTGCGATATTCGGACTCCAGCCGCGAGGGTGGTACTTTATACAGAGCTTTGTTCAGTGGGCCTCATGGGACCACTGTCCCAGCTGGAACTTATGAGACGGTGCTAATGATGGTGGATGGCTTCGGTATCGTCTCGCACCTTCCTTACCTAAAGCAGCTCATTCATGAATATAATGCCTGCAAGATTCGCACTCGTCGAATCCATTTAGTGTGGCAATTGGAGACGAAAGGTACGGAGACTATCAGATTCCACTTCTCTCGATGCATGACAACGCTCAACTGCATTAGATCTGGGGTATGCCGCAGCAGACCTGTTGAATGATGCGCTCGCCGGTGACACACTTAGTGTCGATAATAGCACCGGCGATATGAACGACGAGAAGTCAACCAAGGGGAAGGTAAGCTACAATTAACTATATCACGAAAATTCAACCTAACTTGGCGCATAGATTCTCAGCATTTCGATCTACATCCACTGGGCAAGCCGGGATAAAGTGCCATTCGGGAAACGTGCGATCGCATACAGCGGCCTGGCAGATGTGGAAACGATTTTCCAAGAAGAGGCGGCAGGAAAACATATCAAAAGGGTACAGGAGGAATCGGGTGAGAGGGGAGAGATGTTGGTGATGGGTAAGCCCACTTGACTGACTTAGGATCCCTACTTATTGATACAGTGTCTGGAAGCACCGACCTTCGAGATCGCTTGCGAAGTCTAGTCCGGCCCATGGCAGATAAGAAAGTGAGGCTGGAGGAACTAGAATATCAGCCTGGTGATTAGACGGTTAACCACTTCTAGTTGGGCCCTTGGTTATGCATAGGAGACTACGTCTTTTGTCGGCCCCTACCTAGTCGGCCAGATCATTCCTCGCAATCATCCTTTACATAGGCCGTGCGGGAAGTAAACAGGACGAGTATAACAAGTATTAACCGGGTTTATCTAGCGGAGATATGTCGACAACTTAGACTGAATCAAGGACCAATGCTAGAAATTGATTTTCTATACACTCAGTATCGATTTCTTTTGCTAGCAGGAGCATCAGGATGGAGTCTGGTGTCGATAATCTTCCCTCGGCTTATGTATAAGGTGTTGTTTCCACCTTTGATGATGTCTTCAAACTTTGTCAATGGGGTTATCATGTGGGACCCAGCGAACACATTCCACGGCTTTTCGGCGTCTTTTCTGGTGTATTTCCTCAGGAATCGCATGAATTCTGCCGGTTCAGAGGGGTCAACGTCATGTGAGGGCAAATTTTTCCAGTCTCCGCCACCAACACTCCCATCGGACATTTTGAGATGGATACGAATCTTCTGAGGGTTGGGCGTTGCCGTGATCGAGTTAGCAGGGTCTGCTGGTTGTTGAGTGGTACTCGCAATGACAACCTCGGCTGGTCGGCGCACGGTTTCGTTTTCATCGACCTTCCCAATGTCGATCTTTGTTGTTCGTTTTCGACGCATTCCCTCGTCTTCGTTTACATTCCTCTCTTGCTGATCCCTTCCCAGTTCTCTCGTCATCTTTTGCTCCACTCTCAATTCGGGTTTCTCGTTCTTGAGTTGCCTTGCTCTCTCTAGTCTTGCAAGTCTTTCCCGTCTCCGACCTTCTTCTTTCGCGGCTTTCTTTCGTGTATCTCTCGCCGTCCTCTCTTCATTTTCTTGCTCCCTTAGTCGATCGTCTACATTCCTTTCGATGTTTTCCCATCTTGCCCGATCACCCCCGTCGGGGGGTGGCTCGTACCGCGCTTGTCCATCGCTTCTTAGCCCTTCCTGCACTTCTTGCAAACCCTCAACTTCGAAGGCAATCGGTTCTTCCCCGTCACGAACTCCATCCTGAGCGTGTGCGGGAGGCGAAGTCTCCTGCGCTCGTTCCAGGTCTTCCATTTCCTCTACCCTACCAAAGTCGATCTGAGTGTCGCGTTTTCGATCTACCTCTCGCATTCCCGATGATGAGCTCGGATCCTGTACCAGGCCGGGGTCTTCGATTGCTCGTCCGTGATCCAGGCTTGGTTTCTTTTGGTTTCCCTGCTGCAGTTCGACCTCGCCTCCGTCATTTTCCTGGTCCTGGCTCACACGTCTACCCAGCTCTTCGAGGCTCTCCTGCCCTCTCTCGAGTATCTCGGCCTGCGGAAGGGACGGAATGTTTTTTCGTTCGGCTGAGTCCCCCATATCCGCTGTGGAGATGCGTTCTACCTCCTCTGCAGCGGCGTTTGCCTGTTTGGCTGGTGACAGCTCGCGCTGCTGGTCGGTGATCAACATTGGCGGAGGCTCTTCGATATCGTTCACGGACCCATCCCTCCCTGGAATGCGTTCCTGTGGCTCCTTTTCGATCACGCGCTGTGGCGCCGACTTCTCTGCGTTCGTCGATTCGACTGTTGGCGACGGCGACTCGGGAGCGAATAGAGACTCTTCTCGATCCCGCCTTATCTGATCATCGATCACAACCCGTTCTGCGTCATCCAGAAGGGCGTTATCTGTAGAAGGTGAAACCGGGCCCCGAGCCGTCTCTCGCTGCGCTGTTGTCAGTGCCTCATCAATCCTCTCCCATGCAGCCTGTGGGGCTCGTTCTTTATCAGTCGCGTCCTGCTCTCCCTGGTCGACATCTGGCCCTTTGTCTCCGTCTCTCCCGTTTGCGGTTCTCTCCATTGTCTGTCGCTCATCTAGTTCCCCGTGGGTTTGCTCTGTCATCTGCTGCTCTTGTATTATGAGACGACCCTGTGCTTCTGCCGGGGACACGAATTTCGGTGCAACCACCGCTTCGTAGCTTGTTGGAACTTCTGATGTGGTAGTCTCGTGAACAACGTTCTCGGTCGCTATCTCCGCGATGTCTTGATCCTCGTCTTGTCGTTCTGTTGCTGTGAACTGCCCCACTCCCACGATCTCGTTACGATCCGGGGTTGAAGATTGGTTCTGCAATAGCATAGGAATATTGCTTTCCTTGAGCCCATCAGGGTTGATTTGCGTGGTTTGGCTCGGACTTTCCGGTCCCTTAGGCACCTCTTGTTGTTTTGGTAGAACACTACTATCCTTAGCAACCCTCAGCAGCACTGCATCTAATATATCCTTCCTCTTTCTCACACCAATTGCCCCTTTCTTCTGAGAAGTCTTCCTTTGCTTATTTGCCGCCTTTTTCTTTTGAATTCGCCCATTTTCCCGACCGTCTCGCCTTCCAGTATGTCGGACCTTATCTATTTCATCAGCTATCTCTGCCTCGGATAGCCATTCCGACTCAGCTTGTTCCTCTATGGTAAGCATTTGCCGATCAAGCTGGGTCGCAGGAAAGTTTTCAGCCTCCCCCACGGTGTTACCAGCTTGCAAACCCTGCTGCGAGGTATCCTGGGCATTGCGAGGACCTGAGAGATGTTCGACATGACGCTGCTCCAGACCCTGCTGATTTGGCCTCGGTGAAGGTTCTTTACCAATCATCCCTTGATCGGCCATAGGTTCGGAAGGATGAGACATCGCCTCGCTTAAGCATAGACTTGTTGGCTTCTCAAAAAAGGCAAGAATGACAGACCGCCGCACAAATGAAGATGTCATCTCTTCAAACTCTCCACTACGTACGGTGTACAAAGGTTCCAGAAAGAGGCATAGTTTGTCTTGTTCATGATGACAACTCCAAGGGATGCCGCATCGCCTGATAGGTGGATCAGAGTCTTCAGAACCCGATGACGGTGACTCCTTTTGCGGTGCTCGCGATGACGTTCTGAGTTCCGTCAGTTCACGAATCTCATCGGACTCAAAGCCTAGCTTATGGGCATGCGCGGCAAATTCGTGTAGGACCTCGGGGTCCGCTTTCATTGGTCTTGGCTTTGCAAGTAAATTCTTTTTCTTAGGTTCGGCCGGCATGCTAAGGTGATTACGCATGGCGATGAGAAATAGCTGTAAAACTCCCAGATTCATTTGATCGGCCTCAGTTCCTGGCTTAGAAACGAAAGTATGATCGGTTTTCTGAATCAAGCACTGGCCGGTCCGCTGGTTAATACCGGTGAAAACGTGCTGTTCCAGTACGTAGAGGATCGTGTCGCCGGGTGATATAGGTATTAACCGTTTGACGCAGTCCGCTGGGCCCTTTAGCCAGTTCAAATCCTCGAAGAAGGTGAAAAATGAGGGGACCAAGCGATCTTTTGTTCGACGACACACTTCGGCCCAGATCTTTTCGCGATCTTGGTCATTGAAAGTTCCGAAGATTTTTCCAGCCTTCAACTTCCTATATAGATCCCGAGCATCCGCTTTGCAAGCCCCAGGGGCGGTACCCTCAAGTTCTTTGACGCTGTTTTCGTCGACTTTCTGCATCGCATTCCGTTCTACCCCAACGCTCTCGTACCAAAAATCTTTCATGAAATCGAGGCGGTATAGGATGCACTACAATAATTGGTGAGAACCGAAATGGCCCGCAAGGTGGAACTTACCTCGTCAACACCCATTGGAAGTATCTTGTGCCAGGTGCTTGTTCTCCAACCGCTCCAAAGCCCGACAACGTCCAGCAGGGCATCACAGGCCGCGGTTATTTCACGGTGGCGCAGGAGCTGCTTGACATTGCGGCGTCCATGAGCTGACAAACGTGCCCAGCACCGTTTTTCAAACCACCAATTGTCGATTCGCAAGTCCCTTTGGAGGTGATACAGCCGAAGTTTTCGATAGATCTCTCCAGGATGCAGACGGTCTTCATTCGAGTATTCCTCCACCAGAATCGTCCTGAGCTCTTCTGTGAGGTCTAACAATCATATATCAATGCAATGTCTCGCTATACGAGAGTAAGTATCTCATACCTGCAGCATATAAATCTACGATCCACCTCCGGTCCGCGACAGGAAGAACCTTTGCGGCAGCAAGAGCGCGGCTCTGTCCATCTAGGCATCTGAGCTGGTAACCTGGTGGAAATTCGAGCTCGGGATATTCAGCTCGAGGGCCAACAAAAAGTTCTTTGATCGAGCGCTGTGAATGTCGAAGGGCGGCATCGAGACTCTGCTTATCGATTTGGGCTGGAATATGATTCGGCAACGGCAGCGGCCAACAACCTTCATCCTGAAATGCTTTCTTCAGCCTCTCCACATTGCTCTTCAGCTTCGTGGGATCTTTCGTCTTAATCTCTGGAAACGACAGCACCTCAAGTCGGACACTGACCATGCCCTTACACTTGAGAACTTTTTCCGTTACGATGCTGCGTTCTTTCCCCAGAAGTCGAGCCCGTCGCATTTTGGTGTCCATACTGGACATGAATCTGCCTAGAGGTTCATCCTCTCTTAAATATCTCTGTAGGGGTCCTAAAATGGATTCTCAACTGAGGCGCTTGAATGGTCTCCCTCAGCAGAACCTGCCCCCAGACGCAATCTGTCCTCAGCCATAACCTGTCCTCAGTCGAACCTGTCCCCGGACACAACCTGTCCCCAGCCATAACCTGTCCTCAGTCAAACCTGTCCCCGGACGCAACCTGTCCCCAGCCATAACCTGTCCTC